TGTACAAAAATAAGCAGTGGAATTGATTTCTGACAAAGGTACAGAAGTAATTCAATGAAGGAAGCACAGTCTCTTCACCAAAAGGTGCTGGAGCAATTAGATATCATAGGCCAAAAAAAAAAAAAAATGAACCTTAACCTAAACCACACATATTATACAAAATTAACTCAAATGGATCAGAGATTCAAATGTAAAAGTTGAAATTAAATAAAGCTTTTGGAAAAACAGTAGAAGAAAATCTTTGGGACCAAGGTTTTGGGACCTTAGATGTGACACCAAAAGTATAATCCATAAAAGAAAATCAATACATTGAACTTCAATAAAATTAAAAATATTTGCTCTCTGAAAGACACTGTTAAGAGGATGCAAAGACAAATAACAGAGTGGGAGAAAATATTTGCAAACCATTATTCTGATAAAGGATATACAAATCTGTAATACATGAAGAATTCTCAAAACTCAATAATAAAAAAGCCAAAAAGTAATAATAAATTAGAAAATGGGCAGAAGACACAAAAAGATATTTTTACCGATGAGACTATATGGGCAGCAAATGATGGCATGGAAAGATGTTAAATATCACTAGCCATTGGGGAGATGCAATGATGAAGTATCATTACACATACTAAAACAGTAAAATAAAAATAGTAACAATACCATATACTGGCAAAGATGTAGAGAAAGTAGATCTCTCATACATTGCTAGTGGGAATGTAAAATGGTACAGATATTTCAAGAAATAGTTTGGCCATATCTTCAAAAAACAAAACCTAAACATACATTTGCCAGCAACTACATTCACAGAGAAATGAAAATTCACGTTTACACAAAAACCTGAACATGAAGTTCACAGAAGCCTTGTTCAAAATGGCCTAATTGGAAACAACCAAAATGTCCTTCAACAAGTCACTAGTTAAGCTGTGGTATATCCATACCACAGAACACTACTCAGCAATGAAAATAAGTGAGTGATTGATACATACAACTTGAACAGACCTCAAGGACATGCCCGGTGGGGAAAAAATCTCAAAGACTGCACACTGTATATTCCATTTATGTAATATTCTCAGAATGACAAAATTATAGACATGGAGAACAAATTAGTGGTTTCCAGGGATTGAAGAAGGTGAGGAGACACAGGAAGTTTTAATATTACAAAGACAGAGCAAAAGGGGGATTTTTGTGGTGATGGAATAGCCCTGTCCTGTACCTTGATTGCAGTGGTGGTTAAACTAATCTACAACTGTTAAAACAGCACAAAATTATATGCACACCATTGCAACAATGTTAATCTTTCTGGAGTTGATATTATATAACAGTTATGTAAGATATAACCTCTGGAGGAAATTAGTGTAGGGTAAAGACCTCCCTGTATTATTTTTGCCATTTCCTGTGAATATATAATTATCTCAAAATAAGTTAAAAGAGTTCCCGAAAATCTGAGGATAAGGGAAGATATAGTTCTATAAATAACAAGGGTCAAGCAACTCTCCTTATTAACCTTAGAGTTGTTTCAAGGACCAAGCATGACAAAATAACAAAAAGCAGTTTTAACAGTACCTAATAACAGCCAGACACTGTTTTAAGTGCTTTCCACATAGTGTCTCACTTAAGCTACAAACAATCTTACAAAAGAAATATACCTCAACTTTATTTTACAGATAAGAAAACTGAAACTGAAGGAGTTTAAGGTAATTTGTCCATAGTCACACAGTAAGTGGTAGAGCCATGATTTACACTCAGATTGATTCCAGAGGCATGCCTCCAGCATATTATACCAAGTATAAAAATATTCAGTGGGAAAACAAAAGGTATCCATCAAAGTGTGCAAAAGCCTGGATTAAACAAAGGTTAAACCAGTTTATTTTCTGTAAGATTCTCAGAACTTTTAAAATATCAGTGCATGTCATGTATCTGGAAGGTGATTGTATTGTTTTTCCCCCAATGTATCTGACCAGGGAACCTTTCCCTCCAGAATATATAACCCAAGTCTCATTCAAAAGTCAAATTGTTTAAACTACAGTTATTGTGGTGATCATTTTGCAATGTACACAAATACTGAATCATTACTTTGTATACTTAAAACTAATAATGTTATAGATCAATTATATCTCAATTTTTTTAAAAGTTAAAATGATCTCACCATAACCCACTTTCCCTTCTTCACATATTGGCAAACCACAAATGCTTGGAGCTGCACTGTACAATGTGGCAGCCACTAGCTGAAAGGAACTATTTAATTAAAAAATAATTAGAATTAAATAAAATTAAAAATTAAGTTCCTCAGTCACACAAGCCAAGTCTTCAAGATTTGTTTCAAGGGCCACATACGAAAGGCTACCACACTGGGCAACACGTTTATGGAAAACATTTTTATCACTGGAGAAAAGTTCTGGGAGGCAGCACTGGGTTAAAGGTTTGTTTTTGTTTGTTTTTTAAGACACGGCCTCTGCAATTTTCGGAGACACACACTGTGTATTATTACACATGCATTTGCCACTTCCCCCCATAAAAGGGGGTGAAGTCAGAAATTCTAAATGGAACTGGCTACTGTCACTCTGAAGCCAAAGAACAGAGAAAAGGTAAGCAAAGAACTGGAAAAAATGAATAGCAATATGAGAAAGCAACACCATGCAGCTGGAGAATGAGGCCTGAACTAGGATTCAGGAGATCTGTATTCTACTCCCTATTATGCCAATGATTTTTTAAAAATTTTTGGTACTTGTTACTAATTAACTGTGACTATATTAGACAAGTCTCTTCACTACTTTAGGCCTGGGTTTTCACTCTTCTACAATACAAATTTGACTTGGATAATCTCTAAGAATTCCTCTGGCTCTGTACAACTAAAACCCACAAAAACACATACATACATGAAATGAAAAAGTAAGAAATAAAGGTAAAAATAAAACAGAGCAAGATTATTGCATACTGGTGGTGGAAACTGGCATTCCTGTCAGTCTGGCACAAGCTCTATTCCTCAGGATAAGACTTAGATACCACCAAAGGAAGAAAAATTTAATTCAATTCAATAAAAACTTACTGAGCAGTAATTTGCATCAAACTGCACCATCACAAAACAAAACAATTAGCCCTAGGTTAAGACCAAATATGTGTAAGAAATCCAGAACTCACCCAACCTGATACTGAAAGACTAGTTTATTAACACATAACTCAACTGCCCCAGGACTAAGAACACAGTATTTTAAACTCTTCTTCAGAAGATAACGCTAAGAAATTACATAAAATCATCTACAAAGTACAAATACATGGCATAATCAAAATTCTTATCCGCGCCCCCCACCCCCCACAGAAGAGAATGAAAATAAATGCTACAGGTACTTTCGAATAGGAAAACAGCAATTTTTATGAATCTGTCTAGAACCCACACTCACTCAGTAGGGTCCTACATTTTCTGGATTATATTCTTGACTTTAGTAAGTTTACTGGAAATAAATTCTCAATTTGTTGTGCCAGGTAAATTAAAATGCAACTGGAATTCTTGTCTCTACTATCGCCTACTGAACATTTCCACTTTTCAGAGGCTGGGCTGGTCCTATTTTCCAGGATCAAAGAGGAGAGAAAACCCTTTCCTGAAAATTAAAAGTGATTTTTACCTCCACATAAAAAAAAAAAAAAAGATAAACTGTGTTTGATATCTCATCTTTCAGAAGCTAAGGCAACCTAGAAGCTAAGTCGAGCTAATTCATCTCGGTAAAAATTCAAACTCCTTAATAGCCCCAAACCATACTCGTTAATATTGTGGAGCTTTCCATCAAGGAAAACGGGGGGGGGNGGGGGGGGGGGGGGGGGCATTTTAGCGACAAGCCTTTAGATAGTTTTTAATACCCCACTTACTATCTATCCTATGCCAAGGATCTCGCGGCGCGGAAACCCTGGCGATTTTGAAAACAAACGTCGGTAAAGGCTCCGGGAGGGGGGACTGGTAAGGGGGTTAGTAACTGACAGCTCGGCCTCGAAGCAATTAGCTTCAAGTAGGTCAGACGGTTCGAAATCCAGGGTCCACCCCAGTGGGCTTAGGGGAGTAGAGCAGCAGGAGGTAAGCGGAGGGCAGGCGTCTCTCAGGATTAAAGGGGCGGGATATCGCAACAGAGAGAGACCCAGATAGAGCCCGAGCTCGAGGCAGTTCGGCTGCTCTCACCTCTCTTGGGGGCCTTGAGCAGAGGCACTCCTCCTGTCCTCTCGCCGTTTTCCTGCTTGTCCTTGTGCTTGAGCTCTCCCGGAGCGCAGGGGCCGGGGTCACCATCAGAGCCGCGGTGGTGATGGTGCTTGTGCCGCTCCTTGTGGCCCTTATGCTTGGGCCCGGCTGCGCTCACCGTCAGGGGCGAGAAGGTGAAGAGGGCCGAGGTGCCCGGGGCCGGGAGCGGGGCAGCGACGGCGGGCCCGGCGGGTGCCAGCGAAGGTGGCGGCGGAGGCGGCAGGAGCAGAGGCTCAACAGGGCCTGGGACGGTAGAGGCTGCATTCGTTGGCGGCAGCGGCCCGGGATGTTGGCGGCTGCGACGCCGCCGGTGAGGGGGAGCGAGAGGGGGGTCCTGGCTCGGCCGCCCCCGCTTCTCCTGAGACCCCCCGCTGCTCGCTCGGCGCTGCCGCTTCACTCCCCGCGGCGAGACCCCAGCGTGGGGTTTCTCCTTCCCGTCTTTGTCCGCCTCCTCCTGCGCCGCCACCGCCCGTACTACGCGCACCGCTCCGACCTGCGCAGCCATTTCACCCACAAACACACATTTAAATGGCCCGACCGCCCCCCCGTCCGCGTATCGCGCAAGCGCCACCCGCGCACGGCCCGCTGGGCATTGGAGTTTCTCCCCCACCCTCCACTTCTCGGCCATTCTTCGTCCAGAGCTGAACGTGCCGGAAGTGGCACTTCCCGGCGCTTCTCCGCAGGCCCCTCCGACCTAGCTCTATTGTAAAGTACCCAAGGCCGCGCAGAGCCTCACGGGAGCCGTAGTTCCCCGCGCCCCCGCCGCGTCGCTGGCTCGTCGAGCCGAGGAGCTGAAAGAGAGCGTGCGCCGAGTCACGCTTCGGGCTGCGACGCAACCGCCGCTGGGCGGAGAGTTGCCGCCAACCGCCTTAACGGCCGAAACAATGTTAATAGCTTTCGAAGTCTGTCGGCGCGTTCCCATTATCGCCTCCGTGTGCCCCTCCGTCATTTTACACGGAGTAGGTGGTCTCCATAGTTACTTTTCAGTTTGCTGTTCCTCTCATAACCTTTGTGAGGTAAAAGAATCTCCGGCCTTTTACAACCCTGGACAAGCGATGAGATGCAGAGGAAAAGGGAACGTAGTAACATAGCAAATGAGGGCAATTTTGCTTTAAGATAGAATGGAGCTGCAAATCAGACATTTCGGAACCTCTTCCTGGGCAGTAATTGCTATGGTTACAAGCTCAGGCGCGACAGGGCAGGTGCAAGAATTGCCTGGGAGCCTGCTGAGCGCCGCCCACCTCTCCATCGAGTCGCAGCCCCTCTAGTGCCTGGAAAGGTAGAGTCTATCCATTATTTTAAATCCATTCCTGCAGTTGCGGAAAAATCCTAGATGGAAAAGTATGTTTTGAAATTTCTTAAGATTTTTTCAAATCGTAAATATACGGCTGCATAAATTTGAGAAGTGTGTCTACCATAGCCCACTCCAGAAATCATACTACTCACCAAGTTTTCTGCCCGGAAATTTATTACAATTTGATCGTCACGTTACAGTTTTACCGCCTCGATAAAGATATTTGGAAGTAATTGATTACAATAAACTACTCAAGATAAAAATCACTGTGGTTTGATACCACTAGTATCAAGAAGTATTCAGCTCAGTGAACACTATAAAGTTAGTTTAACAACCAGAAAGTTTATTGAGCACTTCTTGTATACAGTACACTATACAATGAAAAGGTAATATTTCATCTGATGTGTGTCTTCATTGGGATTCCTAGTGAACAATATTGAAAAACAAATGTCTATGTATTTCATTTTCATAAAGTTATAAATTTTTAAGTGAAATCATTATTAGTCAAGGGGAACCCTTTGTAATAATCACCCATTAACTTGTTTGTTATATACAATTAGATTTGAAAGATCAACTTTCTTAAGGCAAATCCATATTAATATAGAAAAAATTTTAACTAGTAGTACCTCTGGTTAGTTGGATATAAGTTATACATGTTTTACAGGACCTTTGAAACGAAAAAATACTACTGTATAAACAAAGCATGTTTATACAGCTACTTTGTTGTTTTGTTTTGTCTTTATTTTTGATTGAAGGATAATTACTTTACAATATTGTCTTTGTTTCTTCCCTACATGAATCAGCCATAGGTAAGCATGATCACTTCCCACTTTAACCTCCCTCCCACTTCCCACCCTGCTATTTTGCTGATTATTTTTCTAGATTTGGTAATTGAACAACTTTGGCTAAAGCTTATCAGGAATTGAACATCTTATTTGGTATATCCAAATGAAAGACTGTCATTAAAATGATTACTGTCATTAAGTATATATTTTATTCTCTTTAGGTGTAACTTCTTTTCTCACTACTTTGTTTCTCATAACACTTGGGAAAAGATGTGTACTCCATTTAGGCAGAAATAACTCTCAGGAAATAATCATTTTCACAAGCAGTAATTTTGTACTGCAACCACAAGGTAAGATTTTTCAAAACACTTTTTATAGTAACTTCTGAGAATGTAGACATTTATTTGAGGTCAAATTTTTACAAATCTTTTAAGTTTATATTTAGGTAGAAAGGTAAAGTAGAATAAAAATAACTTCTAAAAAGGAAAAATAAGTCCATTCCAAAACTTTCTCATACAGCATTCTCTGTACATAAGCTTAAATGACAAACTCCTATTTGTGCTTTCCAACCCAATGTAAATGAGATGAAATGTAAAACTTCTGACACTTATTTGCATATTGGTCGTCTTTTAAAGCTATTAACATTATTACCATATCTTCATGGTTGATATTATGAATATACATTTATTTTAGCTAGCAGTATTCTATTAGTTTTATTTACAGATTCACTTGCAGGCAATATTCCAAAGCTGTTTTAAATTTTCCAAGTTGATGGTGGTTTCCTTGGTCCTTTGGGTTTTGAAAAACGATTTGCAAAACCTGGGAACAAAAATAAAACTGAATGGAGAAAGATCTCTTAAATAGAAATGAACACTTTTTCTTTTGAGTGTATTGTAATATGTGGAAATATATGGATTTTTTTCCCTAAAAGGTTAGCATCTTTGATCAGTTTAGTAATAGATTATAAAAGCATTCTAGTAATTACATTAGTGCTTAAATGATGACAATACAATTCTAATAACACCTTAAATTTGTGGAACACTTACAAATTTAATAATGGTAATAATTAGATGGTTATAATAGCCTGTAGTAATTCAGTATTTTTTTTTCTCCAATATTGAGATATTGACATATGTACGTTTACAAGTGACATGTGTATGTTTAAGGTATATGATTTGATACACATAAATATTGTGAAATGATTAGCACATTAAGGTTAACACCTCCATCCCCTCACATCATTGCCATCTTGTTTGTTAGATGAGTTTTTAAGATTTTTCTCTTAACAGCTTTCAAATATATAATACAGCACTGCCCGCAGTGCAGGAGACCCATCTTTGATCCCTGGTCAGGAAGATCCCCTGGAGAAAGGAATGGCATCATCTCTAGATTACTTATAATACCTTATATAATGTAAATGCAGTATAAATAGTTGCTGGTGTATGGCAATAAGGCAGTTGATGGAGGGCTTCCCTGGTGGCTTAGTATTAAGGAATCTGCCTGCCAATGCAGGAGACACAGTTTTGATCCCCGATCCGGGAAGATCCCACATGCCACAGAGCAATTCAGCCCATTGTTGTTTTCAGTAGCTAATTCATATCTGACTCTTTGCCACCCCATGGACTGCAGCAAGCCAGGCTTCCCTCTCCTTCACTATCTCCAGGAGCTTGCTCAAACTTTTGTCCTTTGAATTGGTGATGCCATCCAACCATCTCATGCTCTATCACCCCCTTCTCCTCCTACCCTCAATCTTTCCTAGCATCAGGGTCTTTTCCAGTGAGTCAGCTCTTCATTAAGCCCTTGTTGTAAAGTTAGACAGGCCATGAGCTATTCAAGTGATGTGTCTGATTGAGAGAAAAGAAGAAATCAAGGAATATTTATGTTTCAGGCAAAGTTTGGTGCTTTCTTCATAGGTTATAGAATATCCTATATGAACTTTTTAACTAAGTGATTTAATAATAATAACTTTTTTCTAAATGTAACATTTTAAACCTTAGAGTTAATGTAATCCAAGTAAAAATTTTAAAACACAAGAAACCGATCCAAAGAGTCTAGTTAAATACTTTGCCTTGGTGAGATAGGGACCATAACCCCAATTGTGGCAGAGATTGCTACCTGTCCACCCAAATTTTTCTTTGTTTCTTCTTCAGGAATAGAGTAGTATATGGGAAGCTTATCTGCCCAGTATTATTGCATTTTCCTGGTGTCTTTTATAGTTTGGATGTAACACATGCATAGCATAAAGTTGCCTCTTCCAGGCTAGTGCCATAAGTCCTGAAGAGGAGGCCACACACCTCTTCAACATTTTTCTCTCTTCTTGCCACCTACAGTATGAATGTGGCTGCAACAGTTTTGATCATTCAGATAAGGACAATACCATGGAGCAACAGTTCCTCAGGGTGTGGTCCCTGGGACTACTGGAGGTCCCCCAGACCTTTTCAGGGATTCTGCTTTTTGGTTAATAATTTTTAGTAGTAATATCCTCTACCATTTACTATACTTCTTACAAAAAAATTATGTAGTATATATAATACTACCTTAAATAGCATGAATTTATGTTATATAAATAGAATGCTTAATATAAAATTATTTTAAATTTATAGGTTATATTAAAGAGCAACTGGGCAAACAGTTCCTTTAAACTGTCAGAATTGTGCTTCACCTTTTACTGTCAAATGAATTTTAATAAGATTAGATAGTAGCATCATCTGTTCTTTTCATCACACTTGCATATTTCTTATAACTTTGCTTAGATATGGATTAGAGTATTAAAAATATTTCAGAATTTATGCGTGTGGCTTTCACGTTCATTTATTACATGCCAACATGATCATTTGGTACCTAGTTTTATTTTCCACATATGCTAGGCAATTCAGGCCTATGTAACATGTAAGAAGAAGCTGAAAATAAAAAGATAAATGGCATGAAAAAGAATATAAACATAAGGACTTACACATGTAACCTTGAATCATATTAATGTTGTATCTCTTATACTGCAAATGAATAATTAAGGTAAACATTTTTTTAACTCTACTAGAAAGTAACACACATACCAAAATTCAAAAAGGAGCTGGAGTTACTTGACTGAGCTGACTCTGCAGGCTTGTTTGGTGGGGAAGAATTACAGATACCTAAATCACAAGAAAAAAATGTAAGGGAAAGAATGAATATAGACTCAGACCACATAATTGAGATTAAACGTTTCCTTCAAATTAATTAATACTTCTAGATGAACATCACATGTAACAAAATATAAGTGCTTACAAATGTGTTCATACTATAATTTTCTCATTTTTGTGTGCATTTTTTTTTAAGTTTTCTTTGCAAACAGATTGTATGGTAAACCCAACACTAAAGAAAATCACCAAAAGATTCAAGAATAAGATCTATTTTATTGTGAATCTACTTTTTATGGGATTTGCATTTTGGTTTTCAACTGCATCTTACTTTGCATTCTGATCACTCTTAAGTACATTTTAAAATAATTTGTTCTCCACGTTAGCTCATCTATGGCAAGTCTGTAGTTTTTCTTCCACCATCCTCTACTCTGGAATATATTCACTTTCCAACCAACATTTTTCCTATTATGGATGTTTCTAGTTAGGTCCAGAATCTCCCAAAAAGCACTGTTATGTTGCTTTGTTTTGCTATTTTAGCTCCACATAGGCAGACTTAAAAATACATTTTTCTTCCTATCACTTTGATATATTCATATATCAATATCTACCCAATTCTGAAAACAATCCAGTGAAAACATGGTTCATATTTTGCACAAGTACTGTCTTATCACCAAAAAAAGATAATTTCAGGCTTGTATGAACTTTCTAGGAAACAGTACATAATTAGAGAGAAATTGCTAAATATTCACCTTTATTTGTTCTCATCATTTTCAGAATGTAGTGTGAGGATTGCATGTATGTTTGTATACACAAAAAATTCTAGAAAGCCCTCACACTTCCTGGAGCTACATCAGTATGAATCACTAGAGTATATCATGAATTTCAGTCAGGTTCAAGTAAAATATTTATTGAATACCTACAAGTGCCAAGAATTAGGCTAGCCACTGATGATAGAGACATGGATAACAAGTAGATGGAGGTGAGAAAGTTCAGGAGATAGCTATCATCCCTATATTGCATATGAGCTGAGAGTTGTATACATCCTTCAGAAAGAAAACAATTGTCCCAAAAGGGAAAATTGGCGTTTTATAACTGGAGACAAAAATTTTGCATATAAGGCAATGGCACCCCACTCCAGTACTCTTGCCTGGAAAATCGCATGGACAGAGGGGCCTGGTGGGCTGCAGTCCATGGGGTCGCTAAGAGTCAGACACGACTGAGGGACTTCACTTTCACTTTTCACTTTCGTGCATTGGAGAAGGAAATGGCAACCCACTCCAGTATTCTTGCCTGGAGAATCCCAGGAACGGGGGAGCCTGGTGGGCCGCCGTCTATGGGGTCTCACAAAGTCAGACATGACTGAAGTGACTTAGCAGCAGCAGTGAACTACTATTTTGCTTATAGCTTGTCATGGATACTTTTATGCTCCCTGCCCAGCATTAATTCCTTCTTCTGATAATTGAATTTTACTTTAAGAAATCACCCCTTTCCAGTGTTCACCTCCCATATCTCTTGTGGAGTTGATCTATCCATAGATCAAAGAGCTGATTTATGACCAGGGCTGTCAATTGGTACTTTGCGATGGTCACACCCTGGGTCACACCCAGGGATCAACCCAGGTCTCCCACACTGTAGAAAACTCGTAAGCTAAGCTAATCAAATCAATCTTTGGCTAACTGTTCAATTTACACATTCTTTTGCTATTTGCCATTTTATTTCTTATGTTTTCTACTATAATTTGCTCTTGAAATGTTTAAATTCTCTTTTGACTGACTTCAGAAGAAAGACTATTTTCCAATCGTGCTTTCCTGAATTTGCCTGCAATGCAGGAGACCCAGGTTTGATCCCTGCGGCAGGAAGATCCGCTGGAGAAGGGAATGGCTACCCACTCCAGTACTCTTGCCTGGAGAATTCCATGGACAGAGGAGTCTGGCAGGCTACAGTCCATGAGATTGAAAAGAGTTAGACACAACTAAGGAACTAACACTTTCATACTATGATTTCCTCTTTAAATGTTTACATTCTCTTTGGACTGACTTTAGAGGAAAGAGTATATTTTCCAGTCATGCTTTATTACAGGTAGGAAATTAGTTCACTACAGAGATCTAGTGTGGTAGCAGTAAAAGCAGCCTAGCACACACTTATGGACAGGGAGATAGAGTGAAAACTCAGAAGAAAAGAGTAATTTTCAGCTATAAACCTTCTTACTTAGCTAACACCTTATATCACGTTTTTTCAGTGCTCTTTGTCCCTCCCCACAATACCAGTATAGCTGTTTAATCCTTGATGATTAACCCGATAGATCAAGTTTGTAAAACATATACTACCATATACTTTGTAGTTATAAATAGGATTTTGGAGATAACCAGTTTCCCATAGTTTCAGGAGTCAGGGTTTTGTTTTCATTACAATATAAGAAAAACAGTAAGCAACAGACTTTTATTGCTAATAATATTTGGTAAAAATGGAAATGTGTCAATACTTTGCTTATTTCATTAAATCAACACATTTGTTTCACAATATGCTTTACTGTGACTACTTTCAAAGAAAATACATCTGAGGTTAGACTGCTGGGAGTTTTAAATAACACAGTAATGACAGCATTTTAGGATGTGTAGAAAGTGCCAAACATCATACTGTTATTCCTGTGAATCACACAGAAACTTTTCCCTCCCTTTTCTCCCTACCCAGTATTTTAGCATCGTGGAGCCTAACAACAGTGCAAGGCCTGAAGGTGACTGTTCTGATATATAGGCCCTTAGCAAGGTTCTGTTTAGGAATACTACTGTTAATTATTTTTCCCAGTGGTTATATAAGGAAAAATTACATATACTGAAAGTGGTGTATGTATTCTAAAAATAAGTAACTTACTCTTTTTCACATTTCGTAAAATTTTCAAACTCTATAAAAATGAAGAAAAGGAAAAGGTTAGTTTTTTCCCTCTGAAATCCAAACACTTTTAATCAACTAGAAATATAGACTTCAGTCAAGAGGATTAATTTCTTTAAAAATGGATATCGAAATACACAGAATTATTTTTCTATCATGCCATTTTTATCTCAGTGCCAAGTCTCTACTTGTCTTATCTTGCAGTTTAGAAATAATACTATTATTCTGCAGGAAAAAAGATGGAGTTTCCATTTTTCTTCTTTATTTTTTAGAATATTTTATTTACTGGTATATTTATTTATGTGGCTGCACTGGATCTTCATTGCTGCGTGACAGCTGTCTCTAGCTGTGGTGCATGGGCTTCTCACTGCAGTGGCTTCTCTTGTTTGGGAGCGTGGGCTCTAGGCACACAGACTCAGTAGTTGCGGCTCTTGGGCTCTAGAGCGGTGGCGCAGTAGTTGTGGCACGCAGGCTTAGTTGCCCTTCAGCATTTGGAATCTTCCCAGACCAGGGATGGAACCCATGTCCCCTGCAGGTCTTAACCTCGATGTCTTAACCACTGGACCACCTGGGAAGTCCCCTACTTCTCTTCTTTATTAAGGGACCATGCCAGAACCCACAGTGGCTTCTGAAGATACTGTGATACATTGCCACCCCTATTCTAGTCAAAAAATTTGCCAGTCATTTTCTGTATTCGATTTACTGAAATTCTCTTCATACTGTTAACCATGCTACTTCCCTCTCCTTCTTTTCAGCAAACCCATATCTTCTGCCTCCTTGATGGTGGAGTCTCTAACTTATCTCTTCTATAAATCTACCCAGATTTCTTCTTTTCTTCACATTTCCTCAGGGTGTATGTTTTTCACTCTGTTCCACAGTATATTTTTTTTTATAATTTTCATTTTATTTCTCGTATAGTTATTGTATTCTAATAATTAACTATACTCTTTTCAGGGACATTTAGATGACCTTTATGGCGTTTCTATTTTTCTAACACTTAACAGAGATGTAATCTTCTGTATAATAGATATTTTAAAATTCCTTTTTGAAAAATTTAGGTTTTTAAATACAGATTATTTGTAATTCAAAATATCCTAGTGAAAATGCTCTCATTTTTGTTCTCCATCTTTTTCTTCTGCTCTATTGGTATATGTTTCTTTTCATAAACCAATATCACGCCATTTTAATTATTCGGGCTTTATAATATTTTTATATCTGATAAGACTACCCTTCTTTCACTGTTTTTATTTATTTATTTATTTTTTGCTGTTTTTTGCTCTTTCCCCGCACATATAAACTTTGGAGTCAGTCTGTCTAGTTTCAGGGGGAAAGAAGTTGATAGTTTTGGGGGGCATGCTCTAAGTTGTTTTTTGTGTTTTTTAAATTTTTGGTTTCCCTCTATTAATCTTGATTGCTGTGAGACTAACAATCAATATTAGTGAAGATAGTTAGTCTAATTTTTTCATCTTAATGCTAGTGGCCGGGGGTTGGAGTGACAAGGGTTAGGACATCTCTGGCATATTCCCATAAACTCCTATCTTTTTTACCTTACTCCTTGTAAAATTCTTTCCAGAAGGTTTCAGTGTCTGTTTTGAAGATGTTAAATTTTCCATGGTGTTAGGACAGCTAGTAGAACAAGTCTCTACAGATTGAGCCTGTATACCTAAAAAACAAAGTGTTTTGTTGCATAGCTTCTTAAGACTTCAGATTTACATACAGGTTCAGAATTCAGTAATTCTTAGCTTGATTTTTCTGTACATTATTTTTGCAATAGATTATGCATTTTAAAAATTTATTATCTTTATCTTATTTAATCATTCTGTGTACCTTTTCCATTTAGGTCCTATTTTATTGTTAACCTTTAATGGTCTCACTTTTCTATAATTTTTGAGAGAGAGTACTGTCACTTACAATCTTCATCAGCAAGAAGGAAGGACTCTAAGGTTCTCTCTGGCAGTGGAGGTGGTGGGGAAGAAGAACGATCTTGTTGTAGATCTATGAAAAAAAGAACATACAAAAAAAAAATCCTATCAATTGAAAGTCCTAAGTTAAGCTCCTTTTTTGAGACGAATGTATGATATTGCTTATTTGTGGAATCAAAAAAAATGGTACAAATAAACTTATTCACAAAACAGAAATAGAGTCACAGATGTAGAAAACAAATTTATGGTCACTAAAGGGGAGGAGGGGAGGGATAAATTGGGGGATTTGGATTTACATATACACACTAATATAAAATAGATAACTAATAAGAACCTACTGTGTAGCACAAGGAAATCTACCCAATACTCTGTAATGGCCAATATGGGAGAAGAATCTAGAAAGAGTGGATATACGTATATGTGTAACTGATTAACTTTGCTGCATGCCTGAGACAACACTGTAAATCAACTAAGCGCCAATGAAAAGTATTAAAAAAAAATCCCTTTTTGGTTTTATATTATTTTTCCATTTTTTCAATATTAACCTGTAACAGCCAAACAAAAAATTATCTGAACAATGACTGGAGCCTCAAAAATTTTGTTATTGTAGCTCTTTAGTCAATGAACCTATGCTTTATCACAAATTTAATAGCTGACTTATAAAAGTACTCTTCCAAAGAATTTGAACCTGACTTTAATCAAGCTTCTAGTCTTATATAACTTTGCAGGGAATCCTAGAGATAGAGGAACATGTTAAATAAAACCATGAGGATACAACAGCCAAATTTGGAATATTAGCAGTCTTAAGGACATTCCCTTCAACAAATAAATGGCAAGAGAGAACATAAAAAAAGAACTGTTACAAACTTTAAAAGGCTTAACACACATATAAAACAAATGCAAGATGTAGACTTTGAATCCAGCTTCAAATAAATCAACTGTAAAACATTGTTTGAAAAAATAAAAGGACATGCTTGAGGCAATTCAAGAAAATGAACAAAGTCTGCATATTAGATAATATTAAGCAATTATTATTAATTTTATTAGTGTGATTAATGCTATTATGGTAGGTTTAAATGTATGTTTGAGTATTTCTGTGATTTCACTGTTGTTGCTAAGTTGTGTCCGACTCTGGGACCCCATGGACTGTAGCCCACCAGGCTCCTCTGTGGAATTTCCCAGGCAAGAGTACTGGAGTGGGTTGCCGTTTCCTTCTCCAGAGGATCTTCCTGACCCAGGGATTAAACCTGTGACTCCTGCATTACAGATAGATTCTTTACCACTCAGCCACCTGAAAGCCCATTTCTGTGATAAAGAATTTTAAATAATGGAGCTACTTTCCCACACATAAATCCTAAAGATACAAACGGTGTTCTATTTATGCATGCTCCTCATTGTACAGCACTAAGTATATACTTTATTAATGTCTTTGAAAATGAATACAAGGTTAAGTGCTAGAGCTTTATCTGTCTTTGGTCATTGGGTTTTTTAGGTCTCAAGACTTATCTATAAAGCATGTTCTGTTGTTTATTCCTTGTATCCTGGGTAATATGCAAAAATTAAATATCAATGCAGTACTTCCATCACCAAATATAATCACTGGCAAATAGTAGGCATTTAACAAATATTTGATAACTACTATAAAGTAGCTTATCACCTTCCAGTTTGATTTTAGGAAGTATTATGAGAACTATAACTTTCAGGTAACAATATTCTGCCAAATACCTTCCCAAAATACCATTTTCACCTTAATACTCCCCTGATAAAGAACCTACAGTGCTTATTACTTATTGAATTAAATCTAAATTCTTCTGCCAAGTTTTGTGTGTGATAAAATACACATAACAATATTTGCCATTAATGACATTTAGTACATTCACATTGATGTACAAGTATCATCACAGTCTGGTTACAAAATTTTAATCTTCCTGAAAAGAAACTGCACACCCATTTAGTAATCACTTCCCATTACCCCCAGATTAGAGGGGCAACCACAAATCTGCTTTCTCTATATATAGATTTGTTTATTCTGGATATTTCATCTGCATATCCTTTAAGTCCTTCAGAACTTTCCCACATTATCTATCCAAATTTATTTTCCTTATTTCCCTAAAATAGAACCTCTGTTGCAATTAAGTTTGCCTACTTACGGTTTCTCTGTACCCGTCATGCTTATTTTTACCTTTGAGTCACTGTTACTCTGGTCCCTGCTCCTAGCATTAGCTCTTTTTTTTCTTCTATCAATAATTTTCCATTTCTTTTCTCTACTCAATGAAACCTTCCCTAACCACTCCAATGATGCCTTTTTTGCCCCAGACTGCTGGTGATTAGAATCAATGCCATATAGATTATAACTTAATAGTTGCAATGAGTACTAATGTTATCTACCCAGTTTGAGTGCGTATACAATGGTTAAGCAGCCCGCTCCAGTCTCCTCGCCTGGAGAACCGCACGGGCAGAGGGGCCTGGCTGCTTTATACTTATTTTATCTCACTAAATCCTCACAAAAATCCTCTTAGAAGGGAAGTTCTATTATCATCATTTTATCAATGAGAAAAATCTCAGTCCATGGAGTTGCAAAGAGCTGGACACGATTTAGCAACTGAACAACAACAATAGCAACTGAACAACAGCAATGTATAACTTAAACAAGGTCATAGATTTCAATAACTATTGGTAGGCCAGGGATTTGAATAAAGTCTACCTGACTCCAAAGCCCATGGTTTTTAATGTCTGTTAAACTACTTATTTATGTATTTGAATAATATGTTAATATGAATAAATATATTAAGGGTAACTACTACCTGTCATAATATATGTAAAATACCTATCAGTGTTCATAACTGTTGGCTGTTGGTGTTGTTATTCAATGTATAAAGCAAGTAAGAAAGTACTGGAGAAGCAACAGCAAGTTAAAAACCTAAGTGGTCAGAAATAGTTTTTCAAAATGACAGTGTTAACAATGATAAAACCAGTAAAATGGAACTGCTGCAAAGTTTTAAGAAGTTGTATCTGAAATAGTTGGGTTGTATATCAAGGAAGAGAATTCTAAAATCCTGTTTTCCTCTTACCCTTCACAAAACAAAACTACTAGCCTAGGAAAACCAGAAGTGAATCAATGAGTAGTGGAAGCTATTATGGAAACCATGCCATCTCCTGAGCTGACACTCTAAACTTAATGAGCCATTCTTGTAGTACAAATTCTTACGGCTAAGTGTCACCTAAAGCCAAGGAAAATGAATGTTTTACCTGATTTTGGACTCTGGGGTTTTACACTCTGGAGGGGAAAAAAAAGTGAAAGAATAACATGTACACAAATCTATAAACTCTAGGCAATAAATAGCATTTTTTAAAAAATTATATTTCATATACCAATAGAGTTATGAAATATTTTCCCTATTTTTCCTAATATATAAATGTGCCGAATGAATTGTGAAGAATCATCTACTCTTACAGTGATTTTTTAATATGTCATGAATATTGGTTCTAAATTGATCCTTTTTATACTTATTTCCTCCTACTCAGAACATTTCCCTGAAAATTTAATTTAAGGTTAGGTTGTTGCAATTGAAATTACCTCATGATGCTGGAACAGAGGGATTGTTCTTTACCCTGGGACTTGGTAAGATAAAGACCATTAGCAGTAACAATAACAGTTACTAGTACATTAAAAGTGTAATTTAAAAGGTGGAGAATATTTTTACCACCACTGCAACTGTAGGCATGTTTAAATGTTTTAGATAGCTACTCTTCTGATCTCTGAAAGGTTAAGATAGTTGGTTCATCATAGAATTGTATACAAATGCATAACAGATTGTTGAAAGTGTAGGTTTTTCTTCTAGAAGCAGAGAACATAATTCCAGAAGGTTTATATTAAATAATATAGACATTTGTTATTTTTTTAAAACTGCTCTCTATAATATGGTATCACAGCTAACAAGAAACTGCCTGCCAGATGACTACTATGAACAAGCAATCTACTTATGAAACAATTATTTTTGCCTTGATTGTACTTTACGAATAAGGTCAAATGTTTACTCTTTCACTAAATCTTCCTTGATCACTTCCAACCTGAAGGGATCTCTCAGTCTTTCAAAGCTTAAGAGCTTTCATATGGTGTTGATTGTATTTGCCTTGTTACAATACAGACAAAAATAGACTTTGTGTACACCTGCTATATCTCTACTGCTAAACTTCAAATTTCTTAAGGACAGTAATTGTATATTACACATATCTTTTTATTCTCCACATTCTCTACCACATTGTTTTATAAAAAGTATCCACTCAATATTTACTAAGTGATAGATGTTAAAAATATATAAAGAATAGACTACAGTCTGTTGAATCTTAGTGAGTAGAGTCAGAAAAAATAGTTATTGACCTTGCTTGGTCTAAGTCTTACCAAATCATCAGATTTCTTTGATTCAGATGTTCCACTACATTCTAGTGACGTTCCAGTTTTTACCTTTACAGGTGAAGATGAAGATTTGGGAACACCCTGTGGGAGTTCTGTAACATAAATAAATAAATATGATTCAATTCTTAGGAGTATTGTAATTTTAAAGGGCAAATGTTACTCAGCAATGGCACACAGAATATTGAAAGGACCTGAGAAATAATCTAGTTAATCCACAGTTTACACTTACTGAACTGTACTCACCAGCTTCCTCTACTACAATAAAAGATTCAGGTGTCCGTTCAGGAAGTGGAGGAGGGATTTCATCATCTATCCTTGGAGAAGTTGCTATCAAAAATATAATCACAATTTTTAATTATAAAAATTCAAAGATTTTTAAAAGATATTTAAGCTGGTATCTGTTCACTCAAAAATCCAAAAAAATTCATATATTCTAATCTTGATACAAATTATGTCAAACATTACTAAGATGTGTAAGCTGGTGTCTGTTCACTCATGGAAAAAGCAACATAAATTCTCTCATCCTAAGTTGGAAACCCAGGTTTTTTTATTCTTCTTCAAAATTTACTTCTTTTAAAAGCCCAGGGATCAGCAGACGAATGGATGAGGAAGCTGTGGTACATATACACCATGGAATACTACTCAGCCATTAAAAAGAATTCATTTGAATCAGTTCTAATGAGATGGATGAAACTGGAGCCCATTATACAGAGCGAAGTAAGCCAGAAAGATAAAGACCATTACAGTATACTAACACATATATATGGACTTTAGAAAGATGGTAACGATAACCCTATATGCAAAACAGAAAAAGAGACTCAGATGTATGGAACAGACTTGTGGACTCTGGGAGAAGGAGAGGGTGGGATGTTTCAGGAGAACAGCATTGAAACATGTATATTATCTAGGGTGAAACGGATAACCAGCTCAGGTTGGGTACATGAGACAAGTGCTCGGGCCTGGTGCATTGGGAAGACCCAGAGGGATCGGGTGGAGAGGGAGGTGGGAGGGGGGACTGGGATGGGGAATACATGTAAATCCAAATCTATTTTTTTTCTTTCTTTTTTTTCATAAAATTAAAAAAAAAAAAAAAGAAATACATACTTTATACTACTTAAAAAAAAAAAAAGCCCAGGGATATTTTAATTAAGTTGCTGAGTATCAGTTAACATAGTGTAAAACTTTATATTAATTTAGGAAGCTTTGGATTGTTTTCTGCATAACTCTTGCCCTTTGTTTTACATAGAATATACAATACAGCCTCATGAAGCGCCTTAACATGCCAGATTCAATTACAGAGGAAGTAAAATAATAAAGATTTTAGTATTTCTTCTTCATTCTTATAGAATTAAGGATATTGACATTTTCCTTTTTACAAAACAATGGTATAACAAGGTTTTCTGTTAATATATTTCTGTAGATGTATTCAGAATTTTTATAGAATTTAAATGCTATTATGAGAAATTGCCACCAGATGGCACACATGTCAATGTTGCTACAATCTTTGAAAAAGATTTGGTTTCCAAAGTTGGCACTCAGACAAGTTTAAGGTATTGTGGGTATCTAGAAAAATAAAATTTCTTTAAATCATAAAACAAGGTTAAAGTATATAATCTTTCCTTCTAATCAAAGAAGGAACTAGATACAGATGAAATATTTTTATAACAAAGCTATGCATCTATTGTATGTATTGAGGAATATGTACAGTAGATGTCATGGGTGGGTGCTCTGTTGCTCAGTCATGCCCTACTCTTTGTGACCCCAGGGACTGTAGCCTGCCAGGCTGTTCTATCCATGGGATTTTTCAAGCAAGAATACTGGAGTGAGTTGCTATTTCCTCCTCCAGGTGATCTTCCTGACCCAGGATTGAACCTACATCTCCTGCATTAGCAGGAGAATTCTTTACAAATGATGTCATAGAGAAAAAGCCTTCTCTATTTCCTACTTAGGTGGAATGTTCTATATAAATTTCTGATGATATACCTAAAAGAATTAAACTTGTTTTTTTTGCTTTCCTTCATCTTCCACATCAAACTATTACAATTATCTAATAGAATATTTACTTCTACTTTCAAACCGTTCAGTAATATAACTTTTGCCTAAGAGCTTTCCAGGTGGTGCTAGTGATAAAGAACCCACCTGCCAGTGCAGGAGACATAAGAGAAATGGGTTCAATCCCTTGGTTGAGAAGATCCCCTGGAGGAAGGCATGGCAACCCACTCTAGTATTCTTGCCTGGAGGATCAATCCCATGGACAGAGAAGACTGGAGGGCTACAGTCCATAGAGTTGCAAAGAGTCAGATATGACTAAGCAACTTAGCACAGCAATTTTTGCATAATATGCAAAAATACAGAATTGTAAAAGATATAGTATGAAATTAAAGATTTATATAAGATTAAAGCCTCATGCAGAATACTGAACACATAACCTCATCTATAAAGTTATTATAAAAGTACAGAAAGTGAAAGTGTTAGTCACTCAGTCATGTCTGAGTCTTTGCAACCCCATGGACTATAGCCTGCCAGACTCCTCTGTTCATGGAATTCTCCAGGCAAGAATACTGGAGTGAGTAGCAATTCTCTTCTCCAGGGGATCTTCCTGACCCAGGGACTGAACAGAGTTCTCCTGCACTGCAGGCAGATTCTTTACTGTTTGAACCACCAAGGAAGCCCCTATAAAAGGACAAGAGGAAATCAAATCCTCCTCTTCCAACTCCTGCAGGAAGAGAATTCAATTCTTAGCAATCTGTTCAATTTAGTATAGCCACATGGTTCTCCAACAAAAGTTCTGAGTGACCATGTGGTACTGTTTTTGGTCAAATCTTTTCTGATGTTCTTTTGGAAGTTGTTTCTGCATGCTAGGGATAAACTGTGGACTTTTGATAGACACATTGAGGAATGAGGATTGCGGCCTTTAGAAGCACGCCTGCTAGCCTAAGTCCTGTACTAGATCTGACTGCCTCTACTGTTGCTTGTTTCATGGAATTTTTCTTTTTTCTTTTGAGGAGGAGGAAAAAAAAGAGGCAAGCAGAGAAGGATAAGGGGGAAAGTGAGATGAAACCAAATCTTACAGAAACAAAGTAAAATTTAAAATGCCATACTAACTTTTAAAAATAACTTACCTACTACTGCTGTCTCTTGGTTCAGTGGTGGGGGAAAACTGGTCAGAGTAGTCAGTGTTAAAGAATCATGTGAATTGTAATAAGGAAAGAGGGTTGTAGAGGATTTTGACAGTGAAGAACAAGGTAAAACACTTCCATCTTGCTTCTGAGGTAAATCAAAAGATATCTTAGAATGAGCACTACTTGGAGACAATGATGAAAAATAAGGATCTTCTACTAAAGACATATAAGAATGCTCATTAAAAGCACCAGAGTCATGCTGTTTTTCATTAGCAGGATTGCACGTTTGATGCTTAGAGTCATGTGATGGCGAAATATTCAGTTCTGCTGAAGAAACATACATCACTTTTTGAGGCTGATCAAGACAAGAATTGTGTGGTTGAGATTCCAAATAAAAATTTCCCTTTATGTCCAACTCTTTGCTGTCTCTCTGTTGCATCAATTCAAAGGGAGTTGATTTGGTCCGCAGTATTGGCACCTTTAAATTAGAATATCTTCCTGCTGCATTTACAGGTTTAGATTTAGAATATGCTCCACACAAAATGGAACTCAAGTCCAAACTTTGATGCTTCTGAAGAGGCTTCCCAGCTATTGGGAATACCTTTGTCTCCCATTTCGTGGTTGTGTCAGCATTTTTGTTACAACCACAGTTCAGTTCCAAAAACTCTAAAGAACTGCTCTGTTTAGCAGGGTGCATGACTAACCCTTCCTTTTCATTTATTTCAGAAGTCCTGAGGTCAAAGGAAGAAGCTTCTGCACTTTTCACCCTTATCCTTCCTTTGCTCTGTTGGTTTATCACTTTTGCTTCTTTTATGGTACTGAAACAAAAAGAAAGTGATGATGATACCATATTCCAAAGAGGCCTATTCCCATATCCACTTCTCAGCATCACGATGAGATATAAGCATAAGATAATCCTCCCAGACACAATTAGACAACAGTATATGTGTAAAACTATACTCACCTTTTTGGTAAATTAGGAGAATAAGGTTTTGCTTTTAGGTTGGGATTTTGCTCAAAAACTGAATCCTTTGCTTGAATCTTCAAGAGAAGTGAGAGATTGATTTTTAGTGAGGTGATGGTAATGATAGATTTTAACATTTATAAGGCGGAAAAGTTATTTCTCAGAAAATATCAAGATTTCAAATAATTCATGAAAGAATCATATGAGTTTCCAAAATATTGAATGAAGCAAGAACTTGTTCACATACTGAGATCAAAAGGATCAAAATAAAAGATTAGTGTTATGGAGATTAAAAAGGATTTGCTTATAGCACCATCTTTTCATATGTGAAAGTTTTAAAATGTTATTTACTTAAAATACAACTTTATTCTCAAAAACATTGTACTTTCAGAAATTTAATCATCTCAGCTTTTTGTGTTATGTCCTCATGCTTGCTCCATCTTTTTCTTCCTTAGTGTGCTCCAGCTATACTGGTTTTCTTGCCATTCCTTAAGTATACCAAATTCATTTCCAGTTCAAAGTTTTTACTATTCTTTCTGGTTGAAATACCCTTGCTCAATACATTTTGCAAGGTTGGTAGTTTCTAAAGTAATTATTCTCTACTTAAATGTCACCTACATATGGAAACCTTCCCTGACCACTCAACCTAAAAATCACACTCCCACCCCACCTGCCCAAACACTCTCAATCTTTATTTTCTTCATAGCAATTATCACATCATGAAATTTGTTACTGTGACTCATGGAATCCAAGCTACCAGCAATTGTAAAAAATATCCTGCCTTTGGAGCTGTTTAAATATGTTTTCTAAAAAGTCAGTGATAAGATTCTACTTGTAATGGGTTTAATTGTATCTCTCAAAAAGATATATTGAAATCTAATCCCTGAAATCTGTGAATGTGACTTTATTTGGAAATAAGATTTTTGCAGATGTAATTTAAGATGAGATCATATTGGATTATAGTGGGCCCTAAAACAATGACTTGTGTCCTTTTAAGAAGAGAAAACACAGGGAGAATATGATGTGATGATGGAGACAGAGACTGGAGCAATGTATCTGTAAGCCAAAGAACACCAAGGATTGCTGGAAACACCAAAAAATGGGAATAGGCAAGGAAAATTCTTCCCCTAGAGCTCCGAGAGAGAGACCAAGGCCTTGATGACACGTTGGTTTTAGACTTTGTGACTCCAGAACTGTGAGTTTTAAGCCCCCCTTGGTTTACAGTACTTGTTACAGTAAGCCTAGTAAACTGATACAGAGAATTTAATATTCCACTTTTAATAATGAATAGAACAATCAGAAGATCAACAAAGAAATAGAGGACAGACATGGATAAGCACATAAACCTATAAGAACTACCAAACGCTTATAAAACACTCTACCCAGCAACACAGACATTCTTCTTGAACATTTATGGAACATTCTCTAGGACAGACCATATATTAGGCCACAAAACAGCTTTAATAAATTTTAAAAAATAGAAGTCATACAAAGTATCTTTTTCAATTAGAATGGATTGAGACTAGAAATGAATAACAGGAAAAACTGGAAAATTCACACATATGTATAAACTATGTTAAACAACTATCTGGTCAAAGGAGAAATCACAACAGAAATGAGAGAATACTTAGAAATAAATGAAAATACATCATACCAAAATATATGGGATACAGTGAAAGCAGTTCTTAGAGGTGAATTTACAACTATAAATGTGTAAAAGAAAGATTTCAAATCAATTACTTAGCTGTACATCTTAAGGAACTAGCATAAGAACAAACTAAACCCAGAGCCAGCTGAAGGAAGGAAATATTAAAAGATTACAGCAGAGATAAATAGAGACTAAGAAAACAATGGAGAAAACCCAACAAAACCAAAATTTGATCCTTTGAAAAGATCAATAAAAATTCACAAAACTTTAACTAGACGGACAAAGGAAAAACGAGAAGACTAAAATTGCTAAAATCTCAAATTACGGAAATAAAAGTGGGGACATTATGACCAATTTCATAGAAATAAAAAATATATATAATAATATGAACAATTGTATGCCAACAAATTGTATAACCTGGATTAAATGGAAAAATTCCTGAAACACTTGATCAACCAAAACTGACTTAGAAAGAAATGCAAGATCTGAATAGAACTACAGCTGGTAAGTAGACTGAATCAGTAATCAAATATTTTCCCAACAAAGAAAAGTCCAGGATCAGATAGCTTCACTGGTGAATTTGACTAAACATTTAAGGAAGAATAAACACCTGCACAAACTCTTCCTAGAAATTGAATGACACTGCCAAGTCGATCACCCTGTGAGAACAGGAAATCCCTGTTACCAAAACTAGACAAAGATGCTACAAGCAAAAGAAAGCCTCAGAGCAATATTCTTCATGAATATTGATGCAAAGTCCTCAATAAAATACTAGCAAACTGAATTCAGTATAGGAAAAGAATTACACCCCTTGACCAACTGGGATTTATTTCCAGAGTACAAGGAATCTTGTGCAACAGTCTTCAACATAAGAAATCAATGTAATATACCATATTAAGAGAATTAAAGGGAAGAAATCCACATGATCATATCAATTGATGCAGAAAAAGTTGACAAATTCTTGATAAAAATACTCTTAATAAACTGGAAATTTAAGGGAACTTCCTCAATTTGATAAAGGCCATATATAAAAAACCTACAGCTAATATCATAATGGTGAAAGATTAAAAGCTTTCTCCCAAGATCAGGCATACGACAAGGATGCCAATTTTTACCACTTTTAGTCAACATAATACTGGAGGGTCTAGCCAAAGCAATTAGACACACACACACACAAAAAAGGTATCAAAGTGGAAAAGAAGTAAGTGAAGTTATCTTCATTCGCAGATGACTTGATTTTACATGTGGAAAGACTCCACACACACACACACACAAAACTGCAAGACCTAAAAAACCAGTTCAGCAAAGTTGCAGAATATATAGTCAACACACAAAAACCAATTGTATTATTATAAAGTAACAATAAACAATCTGAAAAGAAAATTAGAAAAGCAATTAGCATCAAAAATATACACACTGATTAGTAAATTTAACCAAAGAAATGAAAGACTTATATGCTGAAAACTACAAAGCATTGCTGACAAAAAATAAAAAATAAAAGAGGAGGCGTTCTATATTCATGAAGTGGATGTTTTTATTATTGTTACAATATCATTACCCAAAGTAATATACAGATTCAGTGCAATCCCTATCAAAACGGTGCCTTTGCAGAAATAGAAAACCTCATCTTAAAATTCATGCAGAATCTCAAGGGACTCTGGCTAGCTAAAACAATCTTGAAAAAGAAGAGCAAAGATGAAGGAATTAAACTTCCTGTTATCAAGAGGTACTACAAACATACAGTAATTAAACAATTATGGTACTGACATTGAACAGCCATACAGATTAATGGAATAGAAGAGACTAACAGTAAGCTCACAGAAAGAGCAATTGATTGTTTAAAATATTTATTTGGCTATGTTGGGTCTTATTTGTGGCCTGCAGGACCTTTGATGTTTGTTGAAGTATGTGGGATCTAGTTCCCTGACCAGGGATTGAACCTAGGTTCCCTGCATCAAGAATGTGGAGTCTTAGCCACTGGACCACCAGGGAAATCAATGAGCAATTGATTTTTGATGAGGTTGCCAAGAGCATTCAATGGAGAAAAGACAGCCTTTTCAACAAATGATGCTGGGAAAACTGGGCATCTACATGCAAAAAAATGTTGTATTCTTGCAGTATATACAAAGATTAACTCAAAATGGATCAAATACCTACACATAAGAGCTAAAACTAAAATTCTTAGAAGAAAACTTAGAAAGCTTCATGGCATTGGGTCTGGCAATGATTTCATATATATGACACCAAAGGCACTATCAACGAGACAAATTGGATTTTATGAAAATTAAAAACTTATATGCATCAAAGTGCAAAATCAACAGAGTAAAAGGGCAACACACATATTATCTGATAAGGATTAATATCCAGAATATTTAGAGAACTTCTAAGACTCAAGAACAGCCAACTCAAAAAGGGAAAAAAGACACAAAAACAGACATGGACAATGGAAAAGAACAGAGAGCCCAGACATAAACCCACACACCTACAGTCAATTAATTTTCAACAAGGAGGCAAGAATATACAATGGAGAAAAACAGTCTCTTCAGCAAGTCATGGTGGAAAAGTTGAACAGCTGAATGTGAAACAATGAAATTAGAACACACCCTCATATTATACACAAAAATAAACTCAAAATGGCTTAAAGACTTATAAGATATGACACCATAAAAAAAGAGAATTCTCTAACATAAATTGTACCAATGTTTTCTTAGGTCAATCTCCCAAGGCAATAGAATAAAAGCTAATATAAACAAATGGAACCCAATCAAACTAACAAGCTTTTGCACAGCAAAGGAAACCATAAACAAACAAAAAGACAGCCTAGGGACTAGGAAAAAATATTTGCAAGTGATACAACCAACAAGGGCTTAATTTCCAAAATACACAAACAGCTCATACAACTCAATAACAAAAAACCAAACAATCCAATCGAAAAATGAGCAGAAGACCTAAATAGACATTTCTCCAAAGATATACAGGTGGCCAAAAGGCACATGAAAAGATGCTCACCATTGCTAATTATTAGAGAAATGAAAATCAAAACTATGAGGTACTACCTCACACCAGTCTGGATGGCCATCATTAAAAAGTCTACAAATACCTGGAGAAGGAAATGGCAACCCACTCCAGTATTCTTGCCTGGAGAATTCCATGGACGGAGGAGCCTGGTGGGCTACTGTCCACGGGGTTGCAAAGAGTCGGATACAACTGAGCGACTTCACTTTCACTTTCACTTTCAACCCTCAGCTGAGAAGACTTTCAGCTCTTGTGTTTGCTATTGATTGTTTTCTTGAGTTCTCAAAGACCTGTGACCATATTTTTTTAAGTTGCCTGTTTTCTAATTGCATCACTTTACACACTGTTATCTAATAATATGTGGTATTTAGAATGGCCTCTTAATTATTTTGAGCAGCCATTGCCTGTATTTTC